CATCAGTTGAGAAAAACATCAAGTCAATTTTTATTGTTTTTTTTTTTGCGAACACGGTAACACATTCCTCATACTCCTAATAAATAAAGTAACTAGTTGGTATAGCCTTTATCATGAAGTGATATGATTGTAAACAATTACCAAGGTGAAAGATCCTAGTAGAGTCAACATCACACGGCTGTCCCCCTTTTCGGTCAGACAGTCATGACTATGAGAAAATGAAATTAATTATCCTAGCTGAAGGATGGGCAGTAATGCTACTTGGAAGATTCAGTTGTAGCCGATGGTCTAAAGGGGTAATTTTAGGGAAGTTAAGAGGATCACTCAGTTGAGATGAACTTTGTCTGGTGCATAAATATCGCCCAACAGTAACCACTGAATTGTCTAAGCATTGGAGACACATCGCCGAATCAACGGTTTCACTCTTTCCCTCTTGAATGCTTCAACGACCACCGCCCAGTCGTACATGGTGGTCGTCGTGGTGCTAACATCGTAGTAATCGGGGAGCCTAAAAACTTGTCATTACGATTATTCCTCCAGGAGCTGCTAAGCCGAGAAACCCTTACCTGTACATTTTTCTCACCCGTTTCAGTCGTTTCGTGTTTTCGTTGTATCGACTAATGTCCCTGAAATCCAAAAGTCTGATCAGAGTTGGAATATAGAGATCGAAATGGGAGAAAGAGCTGTTTCTTCGTTCTTTGTGGGCTTTATGCTTCATTCTGTGGAATACTGAGACTTGAAGCCACCTACACAATCATGTCGCGCGCGTTTGCGACGCGACTGATCGAGCGACCAATCGATACATGCATGCTACTAAATCTTTTCATCAAACTTCTATATTGCGATAAATGCAGTTGCAAAAGCAGACAAATTTTATTTAGTATTTTGAGCAGCGGCGAAATTTCTAGGTCAAATACGAAAATGGAGTGTATCGATTAACGTTCATACTTGCGCTCACGTACGCAGTCAAGTATAAACGCAAATCACTTGTGAAGAAGGCTCCGAATCGATTACCTCGAGGCGATCAGAACGATAGCGTTCAGCTTCCGATGGACCTCGATCTCAAGTCGCCAGAAGCAAGTTGATCCCAGCTCGGCATCATGCGACAGTCCCATACTCCAACTGAAGTCGCTCTCGGCTATTCTTTCGAATTTTTTTGTCTGCAATACCAATATATTATTATACAAACTCAGGTGGCCACGATTTGAATTGAACAAGTGAAGGAGGGTTCACGAATTAGGTTAACGACAACTGGCTCGATGTCAAGCCCATGGTCCCAAGCCTACACCCGCTTTGGTCAACCGAGACCCTACGCTAAATGATAGTCATCAGAGTGGGAAAATCTGCGTGGTCATTCCACATCAGATCCTTTTTAACGCACACAAGAGTTGTCCGACTTCTGAGTAATATTTTGTTGTATCAATAATCACACTATCAAAGAATGCCGCTACTAATTCCCCTATTTCCTTTTCCGAATGCTCCCTAGTCGAATTCTAATGAGTTCTCATGACCTCAGAATCCGCTAGCTTCCTGAAGGGTAGGGGCATCCTTACCCTAAAATAAGACCTCCTTTATTCTTCCTCCGACGATAACTGAGTCCTTGCAGATTTGTTTTGAAGTTATTCTGCAATGACACAGGTGACACATTCCACAGATGCTGTTCCTACTCGTAGTCGACGGAGTTTCTCAACGCAATTCTCGCTCGCCACGCAAAACACTAGCAGCTGCAAGTTTGTCGGAGAATTGCTGATTGTTGTCAAGATATCAGAAGCGCGTCACACCCCCATGTTCTTCTCATATTTCACGTATACGAGCAGGGTAAAGCATTGGGGTAGTGCACAGTCAGCTTAAGTCTCGCAGAACCAATCCATCATCGAGCAATCTGAGGAAATTTCTCGGAGCACAACTCTTTGATTGTGAAGTGGGGGACAGAAGACTAGAATTCGCGATGACTCCCCCTGACGCTTTGCGAATCCTTGTTAGCTGCCTCACTTGGTCAAGAAGTCAGTATAGCGACTAGTAGTACTTTACGTTGAGCACCCTACATAGCTTCCTTTGGCAGAAGACTCGGAGGCACACAGCACGCAATCCGAACCTTCTGACTCATGCCTTTCCGTTATAATGGCGACTTTAAATTCGATGTCAGAATCTCATAAAAACTCACGGTGCCGTTTTTCTCTCCAGTGCCACCTTTGTTGAACGGCAAACAAACGAGGAACTTCTCTCTAGTGTAAGCTCCATGAGCCATACCTGGAAAATAATCGTACTTTCATTATGATCTTCAATAGAAAAATGCAGTAATCATTTTTCAGCAGTTCAGAAATGTAAAATTCCGGAAAGATATGACCAAAGCTACAAAAGCTCACCATCAGTGCAGAACGGCCATGACCACATGAACGTTCTTTCTTCGATGAGTCGATCTGCTTCAGCCTCATCCGAAGTCTGAAAACGAGAAGATTCACCCAGTATATTTTCTATACAAACGAATGCCATTGACTTTGAAACCATCAAAAATTAAGGCCTACTGTAAGTCGATCAGAGCGTGGTGTAATGGCAAGTGGGGATCACCATCACACACACGGTCGGGGATAGAACCTTGGATCATTATCCACCTGCGCTATCAAGGTCACCCTTCTCACCGGGGTTGGTTAAGTGGCACAAGATATGTTCGGAAAAATGAAAGCCTTGACTTGTATATCGGCTGGCCACCACAAGTCATCGTATAGCCTACACACTCATACAAACGCTGCAATGGTCCAAAATAGAAGTCGAATACAGGGCGCACCCCAGAAACGGAATTGATTAACGCCATTCCTTTCCTTCATCCTTGCATGAAATGTTTTCACCCGATCATCACCTTATCAACATTTTCTATGATAGAGCTTACCTTGTTGTTATTCAAATCGAATTTCAATTGAAATTTCTTGCAATGGGTCA